CGCTGACTATTATGTCAAGACACGTGCAAATCATCCTTACTCTCAACTACGACAGGTTTTCAGACATGTGGTAATGCCCTTAATCCTTAACAATATCTATTTTCTAAGCTTAATTCTATGTGGTTAATATTATTCCATTTTCTCTGCTCCATATTGTATGAAACAAAATCTTTTTCTTCTTTTGTTTTTGTTTCATTCATGTAATAACTTCTTTGCAGGGTATTGGAGCCATAGTTGGAGTCTTATCCCACAATCTTGCAGATCTTCGGGACTTACAACAGCGTCAAGGACGCTACATATCAATATATGATCAGCCTTCTTATTCTCACTTGGTTTTCTCTCATGTCTATTACATGCATTTTATTGTTAACTCCTGAATCATTGAAGAACCGATCCCTTGAATCTTAACAATCTTTTAACTTCTGCAGGATCCTGTCCTTGATTCTATAAAAGTGGCCGTAGAAAGATTATCAAACTCAACAACTTTCCTTCAGTTTTTGGGAAGACATGCTTTTATCATGCAAGAGGAGCTGCCATCACCATCTGAAGACCATATTGAAGATGAGAGTCAAAGATATCACTTCATGTCACTTCTTCTAAACTTGGCGAGCACATTTTTGTATATGGTCAACACATACATAATTGTTCCTACCGCAGACAACTACTCTTTGAGCCTCGGGGCTGCAGCAACCGTTTGTGGTATTGTCATTGGCTCAATGGCTATGGCACAAATGTTTTCTTCTGTTTATTTCAGTGCGTGGTCTAACAAATCATATCGGAGACCTCTCTTGATAAGTAGCATTCTTCTTCTTGTGGGAAACACCCTGTACGCATTGGCTTATGATCTTAATTCAATATCAGTTCTTCTGATTGGACGTCTTTTCTGTGGGCAAGTATTTCCTATCGCTCAGTATTTCAAAACTTATAAATGTAAATATTGTGTTTTTATAGCAAAAGATGCAGCAAATCTTGATTATACTTCAAATAGTTTGCATGATACAGTTGCATTAACTTTAAACTTGTCCTTGAAGCATTCAACAGTTGGCATTCGATTTACTTTTCTTTCTTTAATTTCTTAACCATGGCATAGACTTTAAAAGAACTCATCTCTCTAATTCACCTCGAAATTAATATAGAAGTCTTTTCATTAACAAAGTAGTGCTTTGAAGCAAGACCATTGATATAATTTAAATATGACAAGTATGAGCAGAATTAATTCCACGAACGCTTTTGTGACCTTTGTAGCTAAATATCCTGGACGGGAAGCACAGTTCACAGTAAGTCGACCTTCTTAATTAATAGACCCTAAGATGTAGGAGTATTGAAAAGGATACCATGTATTAGATGAAAATGTACATAGCTATATTCGGGAAGCAGTTCTTAAACAGGTTTCTCTCTCCACATTTTATCGTTTTCAAAACAGCAAGGTTTCATGTTTTTTTCTCCCAGGTATGAGTAGGAGAATAAGTGTATTCGCATGGTCTATGCCGTAATTGTCTTTGAACATGATAAAAATTTTGGGTTTAATCATATCAATGTGGTTAGTATATTGACATTTCAGGTTAGGTTCTGCAAGAGCTGTTAACAGGCGCTATATCAGTGATTGTGTACCATCGAAACTTAGGATGCAGGCATCCGCAGGTTTTGTTAGTGCAAGCGCTCTGGGAATGGCATGTGGTCCAGCGCTTGCCTCTTTATTACAGACTAATTTTAGCATTTACAAATTCACAATGAACGAAGAGACTCTGCCAGGGTGGGTCATGGCTCTCGCATGGCTTCTTTATCTACTGTGGTTGTGGATTTGTTTCAGGGAACCCCCACACCATGAGAAAGGCAACCTTGAGGCATATCAAGCCAATCCTGGTATTTCAGTTTATTTGTTATGTTTTGCATTGTTATTTCAAGATCAGTGTTGTGTTCAAAACGGATCTTTTGAAGTATCATTTTGGTGAAGCTCCTGAAGTGCTGCTTTTTTTGTTTGAAAAATGTTGATATTATATAAGAAAATCAATTAATAAAATAAAAATTCAGTTATGTGAGGTGTACTTCGGGGCACTTTAGCAATCAAAGACTTAAGGGGATCTTTATGTTAACTACCCTCATGTTGATAATTCATTTTTTGCCCTGGCAATATCGATCGGTTATAATAGAAAATCTGGCGCTGTTTTTCTGATTATTGAAAGGTTGGTCTTGCCAGCGGCCAACATCAATTCAATATGTCAACCAAACTTTTACGTACATTTTTTTTCCCGCTTTTTGTGATTACGTCCTTATGTTTTTAATTTTATGTATCATTCTTAATCATTCTTAATCAATTGATTCTACGATATTCTTTCTATTGGCACAGTTCCAGTAATACATGTTGCAGTTGATGCACAGCCATTAATAATGAATTCAGGAGCTACGGAGCAAGATGAAGTCGGAGAAGAAGAAGAAAATGATGGTTCTGAAGAAGTTCAGAAACCTGCCTCTTCTATTGTGGCAGCGTATGGGTTACTCACACCATCAGTTAAGGTAAGGAGCCAATAATGACTTCTATTGCCGTGAAATAATTTCTATCACGTCGTTCCACTTTTTACCTTGATTCCAAATGTTTCATTTATATCAAAATGAAGTCTGACTCAGTCTTCTTCTCTAACTGTAAAATTTATTATCAGGTTCAGTTATTTGTTTATTTTATGCTCAAATATGCAATGGAGATTGTACTAGCTGAATCGAGCGTTATCACCAGTTACTACTTTTTTGGTCAACCAGCAAGGTTGCCATTTTCCTTGCATGCCTCGGCCTTACTGTACTTCCTGTAAACATAGTTGTTGGAAGCTATATCAGCAATATATTTGAAGAAAGGTGATCCTTCAAGTATTACGAAGTATTCTGTTCTGGAACAATATACCTGAGAAGTCTACTATCTCAATCTGATTAATCTTCCCTCCTTTTTCTTGTTTCTTCCATCTTTAATTTTTCCTTTTCCGGTTGGCTTTTACTTGCAGGCAAGTTCTATTGGCATCAGAAATTATGGTTTGCTTTGGACTAGTCCTAAGCTTCCATTTTTTCATCCCTTACTCAGTGCTGCAATATGTCGGCTCAGCCCTTATCACGTTTGTATCTGCTGAAGTTCTTGAAGGTATTTTTCTTTCGTTCTATGTGACCAAAAAGTTCGTAGTTTAAAAAGTACTAAAGGCACAAGTTGACTGCAAGTTTGCTTTACCGGACTCTGATTGCTCCGGCTTGGACTATGTGGTGACTGATTTTATTTATCTATCTCCAAATCCAAATATTATTGTAGGCATGAACTGATAGCATGCTTGGTCACAGTTGAATTGGTTTTGGTCGTATAATGAAGAGTGCAACGATGAGATATGCATCCCACATAATTTTTTTCGTCATTGTCTTTCCAAATGCAAGAATTGTAAAATGTAAAGGATCCGATTTCAACACCCATAGTCTGCGACTGGGATTCCATTATGAGATTTATATGAATTTTGTGATCTCCATGAGTCAGCTCTTGGATGTAACTGTCCAAAAGGTCATATCATATGCCGTTAGCTAACAAGTTGGTGTGACATGTAAGCAGTATAACATATTGTGCCTACTTCTGAAGGTGAAATCTGTGCCCTGAACATGAATTGCATATTTTTAACATGATCAAATTCAGGAGTGAACCTCTCACTTCTATCAAGGATGATGTCGTCGAGGCTTTCGAGGGGGACATTCAACGGAGGATTGCTGTCAACCGAAGCCGGAACTCTAGCCCGGGTAGTTGCAGATGCAACGATAACAATGTCGGGGTATTTGGGTGAGAGCAATCTCTTGAACGCCACCTTACTTCCGGCTCTTCTCATCTGCATCTCGTCCATTGTTGCAACCTCCTGCGCCTACAACTCACTCTACTAGTTAGTCTTTAGCTTTTTCTTTAGTTTCCTCCCGGCAATATGGCCTGTATATACTCGTAATGTGAACTTGTCTTTAATCAGTAGTGAGAAAGGATCTGCATTAGCCAGTTTCAGCAGTAGAGGCATGAAATATTAGGTGGTTTGGCAACCTGAAGTTTAATGTTGGCCGATAATAAAACTTTTGGTCTTTCAAGTTCAATTTTATCAATCAAGTCTCAAAGTTCCACACACAAATTTATATTCTTACTTGATCTTATGGAACCAACCCTCTTTTCTGTAATCCATGAAGATGTTGTCATCTTTAAATTAATTCACATTCCTACAAACCATAAAAAGTAATTATGTATAATTATGAATCGCCTTCGCTAAATCATTAGCAATCAGCACATTTCTAAAACCCCCACTAGATATTAGTCCTGCAGAGTCAATCCATCACACGAGGCCATTGAGACTCATCAGCATGAGGTCGAACGCAATTCATATCAGAACGTATATTTGGAAATTAACATTTCCTCTCCTTTGTCAGCCTTCCATGATACTCCACTTAAGCACATAGAAATCGGACTGTCCACCTTGCGTGTCCCTGTTCATCAAAAAGCTTTGAGTAAATGCTCTTTGAATCCTAAATGTAATTATATTATAAAGTAAGTCTTACATTTAAAATTAGAAGAGTACTAAATAATACTCTCAATTTACTAAAAGTATGTTTAGCAACTACTGAATTCATGATTTTAAAATTAAAGCAAGTCATTATATGCTTCTTCTGCTAAAATTACCCTTTTTTTAACATAAAAGTAAACATATACTCTACCAAAATAGTCGGGGAAAAATTACCTATGACATTAGCATTAGTAATACTCGCATATCAATCCATATTAATTTTGATATCCGCACAATATAATACAAATTTACAAATTATTGCTAATATGGTTTATTGGCTCCGGGTAGTACTGGATCCAAAGTTAAAGGATTAACAAAAACAAAGTCCCTTGATTTTTTTTCCCCTCAATGGGACGTACCAAAATTTTACCAACAGTAACATTTCAAGTAGTTTTTTTGGTTTTCACTCGGTTTATTTATTTATTTCCAGATATCGTAAGAAAAACGGTCTTCTGGTTCTCTCCGTCATTCTGGACTCGCGAGTCACCGGGTCGATTGACAATCAGAGCAGAGGAGAGAGAAAGGGACTGTGGCCATGGCGGATCAACAGGACTTGCCTGAGGGAACGATGCAGAACTTATTGGATCAAGAGACTCTGAAGTGGGTCTTTGTTGGAGGGAAAGGCGGTGTGGGCAAGACCACCTGTAGCTCCATTCTTTCGATCCTTCTCTCCAGGGTTCGAAGCTCTGTTCTGATCATCTCCACCGACCCCGCTCACAACCTCAGTGATGCTTTTCAGCAACGCTTCACGAAGATCCCCACTTTGGTTAATGGCTTTACAAATCTTTATGCTATGGTGAAATCTCGTGTCCTGAATTTTTATTTTAGTCTCATTTGTTGTCCTTGTCCTTTTCTCCCTTTAAAGAGGCTTGTGTTGTAGATTTGTAATTATGTATTTATGATGAATCTGAGCATTATCATGTTCTCGAGTGTTATGCTTTATGGTGAACAGCGACAAAAACCAATTATGCATAGTTTTAGAATTTTTTTTTTCAGTTGTTTTCTGTATCGTCTGGACACTTTTTGAGCAATTGATAGTGGCCTACATGAGTGCAACGGTTTTCTTAGAATTATTCCGAAGCCTTCTACATGTATTGACTTCATGTCCGTCGTTTACTTGAAGAATTATGATTTAAAATTTCCTAGGATAGGTTGTTGTATCTATTTCATAGTAGTTTGTAGTCTAGGTCCAGTTTTTGTTGTAATGTTCATAATTTGCCCGGTATATTTTCTCACTTTATGTTATGACGCTTAATAGGAGGTGGATCCTACCGTTGAACATGAGGATGTCGGTGGTTCTGATGGAATGGATAGCATGTTCTCAGAACTAGCTGGTGCTATACCTGGAATTGATGAGGCAATGAGCTTTGCTGAGATGCTGAAGTAAGGGAAAAAATGTCTCTGTGATTCAACAGTGACTTGAAATTTTTCTGAATTTTTGTTGTCTAAGTTCTGAAGTAGTTTAAGGAGTGTTATGTTTATAACTGTTCATGGCCTGCTGGATTACATTTATGGATAAAAAAGAATATTAAATTTGGAACAAAATTTTGGATGAGAATTCTTGAAAGAAGAAAGGCGATAATGGAAAGTAAACGATTTAAGGAATTTGCTGCACCCAAATATTTTTTGCCGGAGACTTGAGCAGTTATGGGAATTTCTCCTTCAAATTTGGCTTGTAAGAGGAAAGAAACATGTTTCTCAAGTATCACAAGAATCATATATGGCAGTCCGGGAACAAACATGTCACTTAAGTGACACAAGAATCTTATATGCCGTCCAATGTGTAACTCTATCTTGAAACCACTGTTGAAGAGCTAATGACCTTGATGGCTTTGACCTATGGTGACCACTAGGTTGCGCCATCCACACGTAGTGTATTCTGTGGAGGTTGTTCTAGGTTTCATGCCAATTGATGGAGATCTAGGGAAGCATGAGGAACCTACCCTTTAAAATTGGCTTTTGAAGGGAAAGAAACCATGCAAATTAAATATCAAAAAGAATAACTAAAGCTACCCAATGTCGGCTCTAACATTCTCCCACATGTTGACATGAGTTTTATCTTTTAACCTTGAACAAACTAGCAGTTAAAACATTACAGACTAGACTGATTTCAACTTTCAGGGTTTATGAGGACAGGAGTCCTCCAAATGTCCAACTGATAAGAGAAGAGAAAATTAGATGTGTTTAAGGTCAACATTATCTGGGAACTTTGGAAATCTGGAAAGAATTTCTGAAGAAAATTAAATCTAGGAGATTGATACAATTGTAAATAAGATTACCATGTTTAGTATGTGACCTATAATGCACCAACATATATTTTCAGTCACATTGGACATGGACACTACTGTGACACGTCACCAAGCTTTTTAACATGTCCTCAGACCTATTAGGCCAAAAAAAAAGTTAGTTTTATTGGTCTGGACAAGTGCTGCATGGCTCAGATATATGCAAACAAAATCTGTGTATAATAATTTCAAAATCTAAATTTGGATGCATGTTTTGCGCTTTAGTCATTTCTATAATGGTTTGAGGCCATCTGGAAGTTGTTTTCCTTTCAAGTCTCTGATCTGCAGAATTTACTCTTGATACTTGATTCATCTAAAATTTGTTAACTGGGTTTTTGGTTTAATGATGACAAATTTCTACAGATTGGTGCAGACGATGGATTATTCTGTTATAGTATTCGATACTGCTCCAACTGGTCATACACTCAGACTGCTGCAATTTCCATCAATTCTAGAGAAGGGTCTTGCAAAAGTGATGTCTTTGAAAAACAAATTTGGTGGTTTGTTTAATCAGGTATATTTTCTTTCTTAGTTTGAAAGTAAAAGAGGTTCAGTGCTTTTATTATTTATTAAAATGCAATTTTCAAAATTTATAATCCCTATGTCGTTTACTGCTGTGTATTGAGCTACTATGAAAATGCTTTGTTCTGCACTCTGCTTTTCAAGGTTGTTTCACTATTTTAGACCTGAAATCTAGAACACTTTTGTGGCGTCCCAGAAACTATGTATGAGTGTCTTCATGATATTTGCATTAAAGTAGCATACTTTGATGTTTTCTGAATTACATTTTGTGTTACTGTCCATCTCTCTTCTTTTTAAATCTTCCTTTGGGAAAACTGAAACACACAGTCTTCCCTATGCATTCTTGTGGTTTTGCTTCATCTATTTCCTTGCTCTCAAACTTAATTGATAAGGTGGTGTGTGTTTGCTACATGCTTCATTATCTTCGGTATAATAGGAAAAACTTTCTTCTCATTGCAGATGTCAAGCATGTTTGGCATGGGTGATGATTTTGCCGAGGATGCATTACTTGGGAAGCTTGAAGGCATGAAAGATGTAATTGAACGAGTTAACATGCAATTCAAGGATCCTGTAAGTTAAGAAATCTTCTTAATTTATTTTATGTTTTGTTTTGAAACTGTCAATTGATTTCCATCTTTCTCTGAATTATAACATGCATTCTAAGAGATCATAAAATCAAGGTCATCAAAACTGGACTGCTTATTGAATTTTTAAGGCATTAATTTAAGATTCATTGGTCGAATTAGGGTCAATCTGTGGTCAAATCAGTTGTAGTTAAATTACTATATTTCTATTTAATATAAAAATACTATTTAAAATAATAAAATTGAATAATAATAAATTCTATCCAAGAGGAGTAGATTATGATGATATCACAAGAAAAGGCACGAAAAGAATCCAAGAAATGAATGTCAATTATGCTAGAAGATTAGATTGTGCTGGTTCGGGACAAGTTCTTAACTACATCGGAAATCGCCATATTAAAGTAAGCATGGCAACAAAAAGCATAAGAAAATGAAGAAATTGAAGCTGTAACAGGAAACCCAGCTTGAATTTCGCACATAATGTAAAGGATGGCTATTTAATCATCTTTGAAGCAAAATGTAGGGAAATAAACCATTATCCATTAGTTATGGTTTCAAATTACAGAGGAACTACTAAAACATAGAAGAAGAAAGAAGAAAGGGAAAGCAAGTTGCAGTGATAGGTAGAAATCAGATTCGTACTTGAGTTTAACCCTGTAATTAAGATGAATAAATTGTTTGCTTCAACTGGAGTGTTGATACAGTTCTTTTAGTATATATCATAGTATCTTCTCACACTTGAAATGGGCTGGTAGCACTCAATAGTTTAGATGCATATCTACATACAAATGGGAACTATATAACCGTGCAGGCTCAAAAAAGTAAGTATATAATGATTGCATAAACACTACTCTCATGGTTAATCATTTGTTTAATTTTTGGTTTCTGAATTAAAAGAATTTGTTTGAAATATAAATTCACTCTTAAAATTGTTAGGTGGCAGTTGCAGCCAAATTTTTGAAATATGTTAAACTGATTTTTAGTAGCACATCTCCAGTTGTCAGCCAGAAGCTTCGAATCTGAACAGAATATCCGCAAGGAATATTTATGGGCAATCTTTATTTATGCATGATTTGTGTCACTTTTATTCGAATAGCTTGGTGGATCGGTAGAGTTAGAGTTAGTTATGATGCGGACTTTGTGCTTCACATATTTACTCTTGGTGTAGTTCTTTCTACATAAGCACGTGTTAAATAAAGATGGGCTAGAAAATCTTTTAAATTTGTTGGTATGATGGCAATAAAATTTAACTGAAAATTGTGAAGGATTTGTTTTAATCAGTATAAACAATTTGATATTATAATTTTTATATCTAGTCATCCCAGAAGACCTTTTCTAACTTTTTACCCCTTGCTATGATTTGATTGACAAGGATTTTGAACACGTGCTCCCCCTGACTCCTTACCTGAGCATGCTTAATTATGCCAATTTCCTTTTAATCACTCTTGGGTACCTTCATTTGCAGGACATGACGACTTTTGTCTGTGTCTGCATTCCGGAGTTCCTCTCTCTATATGAAACAGAGAGACTGGTTCAGGAGCTAACAAAATTCGAGATTGACACACATAATATCATCATCAATCAAGTGCTTTATGATGACGAAGGTAGTATGTTTGACATGTTCTATATATTTCTTTTATATTTTCTTTTTCTCTGCCTCACCTTATCAATATCATTTCTTCATCTTTAATACTTGCAGATGTTGAATCCAAGTTACTTAAAGCAAGAATGAAAATGCAACAGAAGTACCTAGACCAGTTTTACATGTTGTATGATGACTTAACATTACCAAGCTGCCATTGCTGCCGGACGAGGTAAGCTATTGCATTTGAAGCCACAGATTATATATCATATCATAAGATATCGTAAAATATAGCTTAAAATAATATAATTTGAGCAAATTACTCTGGTATATTGAATCAACTACTTTAACTGACCGCCCCTACGTTTCCTTATTT